CTGTCAGTTGGTTTCAATAATGCGCGCGCGTCTGCAACTGCAATTGCATTCTCGTCAAGCATATGTCCATCCTGCTGTCGTCCATGGATATGACAAAATCAAATCATGTGAGATGAGATGATCGGAGAATGGTTCGTGACGAATATATTAACTGGCTATATATGTCATCCTAGTTTCAAAGTCTCGCTCGTACCTGATTCTAGTCCGATATATATAGAGAGTCATACGTCATTTCTGAGAGTAAACAATCTGCTTGCTGCCGGTGAGCGGTGAGTACCACAAGCTAAAAAAACGAGAACCATGCATGCATCATTGACCGGTGAGTTCTGACTTCACAGGTTTACAAAATGCGATTACTAGAACTTGATCGCCCAAATAAATAAATTAAAGGGGACCTTTCAAATAAAAAATAAATAAATAAAAGGGGAGAATTTGCTACTGCGTGCATAGTAGAACGCATAGAACTGAAACTGTTCCGTTTACTTGCTGCCTGGACCAAGCTGTTCCATATGACGTATTCTAGTTTGTTTGATTTTGATTTTTTTTTGCGAGAATAAGCTATAGGTCCAAGATTCCATTAGATAGATGGGCAAGCAAGTACATACGTGCCGTACATGCGCTGTACGAGCACCGCCTGCTGTTGTAATAATACAAATTAAAGTCAAACTAAGCCAGCAAGTTCCTGTTACGTTTACAAAGCTACTAGACATGTGCCCACGCCGCTGGTCAACAAGCCGGCTGCCGGGGGCCTCGTGGTCAAGTTGATCCGGCACGTTGCGTGCAGGCGTCTGCACACCCATGTGCATGCTCCGTTGCATACTTTTTTTTTTAGCTTGCTCCGTTGCATACTTGCATGTTCCGTTGCGAAGGCGAGCTCTCCGTCCATGTGCATGCTCCGTTGCATACTTTTTTTTTTGAGCCTGCTCCGTTGCATACTTGCATGTTCCGTTGCGATGGCGAGCTCTCCGTCCATGTGCATGCTCCGTTGCATACTTGCATGTGATCCGCCGGCCTGGCCTGAGAGAGAGCTTATTTAGAACTAATTTTCAACTATTAAACAATGTTTTTATCTCGATAATATTTTAGCATAAGCATCAGCATAAGCTAAATCTCAGCATCAACGAACAGGAAGAGGGATGATTCTAAATTTCTAATTCGGTGGGCTGGAGGCGGTACGGTGCCGGTTCGGCTGGGATTACTTGAGAGGCCAGGGCTAGTCCGTACGGGGCTCGCAGCGCACGGGCCGTCACACTAGGTATGCACGCCGAGAGTTTCAGCCACACACGAATCGCACCACCACTCGGTAGCTAGCTCATCCGTTTTTACCGGTAGAAAGAAGGGTGCCGGGTGCACCTCTCATACCATCGATCCGATCCACGGAGACCGGGTGATGATCGTCATCGCCCGTACGCGTCCTCCACACACGGCGAATTAATAACACGTACACGCAAGCAGCACGACTCGATGGGATCGATCACTCGCGCGCGGATCCGGTCGTATCCAGTCTTGTCACGTCAAGATCCCTCGTCCTGTTGGATGCGCCTCACTCGATCGATGACTTCGGGCCGGCCGCGCGCGCGCGCATCGGCGAAAGCAAACGGAAACGGGCGGAAAACGACCGACCGCGCGCGCGCGCCGCAGCAAGCCTGTACGTTTGGACGTTTGGTTGTGGGCCTCGTCGTAAATGATAGTAAATTTTTAGTTGAAACAATATTTTTCTATCACACAAACCAGTCTACAGTATTTCTTTATAAACCAACAACGATATGAATCAGCCAACCGAACAGGCTACGTCAGCTCGCTGGTTCGCAATCTTTTCCGCCGCCGATCGACGAACCACCAGCACGTACGGTGGGGCTTCTTTTTTTGTTGTTGTTTTTTTGGTAAGAAAAGCACGGGCATTGCATTTGGAAGGACGTGTTTTTTTTAGCACGCTAGCTGCTCTGATCCGGGAACGGGGGCGGCAACAAGCCAACAAGTCGCGGGTGTGAACGGCAGAAAAAGCAAAGCGCGCGGGGGCGTGGGGGCCTCGTCGCGAGGGGACGCGCCAGCTAACGGCGCTGTCGCCAGTACGACGTCGCCGTCGCCGTCGCCCCCGCGGGCCGTCGGCGGAGCCGTCGTCGTCGTGGTGTGAACCGCGCCTTCAATAATGCCCGTGGAATTTCCTGCGCGCGAGACGCCGTGGCCGCCGTCACGTCGCACTGTGCGTGTCTGCAGGACTGCAGGAGGAGGTAGGCGATGCCCGGTCCAGGCGCGGTGGCGCATGCATGCAGAAGCAGAAACGCCCGTCATCCGGACCGGACGTCAAGTGTGCTCACTACTTGGATTGGAACTCAGAGTCAGAGGGCGGGCCGGGCCCCGGGAAGATGGACATGGACGAAAATGGTGGGGTGCCGCCGGCGTACGTGCCGTGCCATAGCCAGTGTGCTCGTTGGGTCATGAACTCATGATTCGTGTCCGTGTTTAGAATAGAGGATACTACTTGATGAAAATCACGGACTCAGAGCACAAACCAGAATGTGAACGCTATTTCAAAAACAAAAAAAAACAGAATGTGAACGCTTGTTATTATTTCATCGATAAAAGTGATTCATAAATAACAGTCCGCACCCAACAGCCCAAGAGGCTGTGCGCGGACCGTGGGCCTTCCTGCTGGGGCAGCCGGGCAGACGACAGACCTGCGTTCACCATGTTTCGCGCGCTGCCAGGCGAGCCGAGTCCAGCGTAGAAACTAGCGAAGGTGGGACCGACTTGGCAGTGAGTGACTGAACGAGCTGCGTCATCCAGCTCGTGGGAACCACCCGATTACTAGAAGCCACCTTCGCTCTACTGTATGTAAAATAAAATGTTATCGGGCAGACGGACAGTCAAGCAGCTCGTTTTCTGCACTGCACGACTCTGCCCTACACTTGCCACCCGGCCGGCTGGTTCCAAATCCTAGTGCCACTTGGAAAACCAGTTTTTATTATAATTAGAGCAAGTATAATAAGGGGCTACAAGCAGGTTGATTGTTGACGTGAAGGAGAGAGAGAAGAAGCGGACTGCAAGCTTACAACCGGTTTGGACACAAGAACCAAGAAACTCTGTGAGAGAGACGAGTGGATCATGTATTAACAGTGAAGATATAACTAGAAACATGTTGTAAGGATTCATATAGTCAACAGTCGGCTGTATTATTAGCCTTGCTATTATATAATATCTTATTTTCCAGCATCCGTTATCGTTTCGGCATCTCCTGATAAAAGTACTCGTGGGAAAGTCCAGGTGACCTAAAACAGTTTCTGAGATGGTGACTGCGCTGCGCCTCCCCGTCCAAGTCCAAGAGTGTTCCGGTGCACCCACCAAAGGCCATGTGGTACCTCGAGTACATACATTGTATAGATCATAATGACAGAGAGCGCTTGATTGCCAACCAAAACAAGTCGCCACTCGTGAGTCGTGACTACGTTTCACACCTGGTGGCTTCGCCTCGAACCGAACCTAACTACTCACTGACCCAGCAGAGCAGGTGACCGCGCGCGTAGGCGTAGCGTAGGTACGAGACATTTGCGCGTGCGCACATACGCAGACACAACACAACAGAGGACTACTGCGTGCTACGCACGACTCGGAGCAAAGGTTGGAGCTGGAAAAACAAAAGTCCACATCACCTCCAAATTCTAAGTGCTTTTTACGCATGATTTTTGAACGACTCGGAGCAAACGTAGGTAAAAAAGCTAAAAACATAGTTTGGTTGTAAAAAGTCCACCAGATAAGGATGAGCGATGCATTTACGAGAAAGAGACGGAGGCGACGCTGTAAACGCGACCGCAACAGGTGCGGGGCGTCCGTCTTCATACTGACCTTTCTCGCGGATCTACAGAGCGCAAGCGGTTAAAACGTCAACAATGGCTTGAGATCGATCGATACGCGGCCCTGCCCGACTCGGCTGCCGAGTCCTTTCTCCCGCGGGTTGCTCAAAGTGACCGCCACTTTGTGCGTAAAGCACCCGCTCGCTCGCTCCTAACACTTCGCTTTTCTATTGTGTCAAAGGGGAGTTCGTCAACCGGTGTCACTGCCAACCGAGGGAGGGCCTGCAAATTCATAGGCGCTGTCTGTTGCTGCTGCTGCTGCTGTCAACTGTTGCCTCGGCCACGTGGGCGGAACAATGGAACGCGCATGCGTGTAATACACTGGACAGCTGACAAGAAATATAAGAACAGAGGCGTAGTGTCTGCCGCTTACTGGTATAGAGAAGGCTACGGCTTCACGTAACGGTAAGTACGGACAGGGACGCACAAGTGCACGGCTGTTCGACAGGCCGTAAACAATTATAAGCTGAAATAGTTTTTCTCTCATACCAAACCCATCAACAGTAAATAATCCACGATCCAACCCAGCCAGCCGAACAGCTCTAGCTGGGGCACATTTTCCTACGCGCCATGCTGGTCAGACATGAGACATGTCACGCATACGACCCTAAGCGCACACAATAACGCATTAGACACGAAGCGCACACAATAACGCAGTCCAACTCACCCTATTTTCTCTGCATCGGGAGGCTTCAAGCTACAAGCCGACAGTGGATGCCCACTTGTCAAATGTTACGGCATGAACACAGGCAGCTCGACACACGAAAGCATCCACTAGCCACTGGGATGACTAGGAAACACTGCGCACGATGCTGCGCCATCCAATGTTATCGGCAGCTCACTTATCATAGAAATTTCTGAAATACACACAGTAGTCTTCCCAGCTACAATATAAAGCAGATGACAGTCTCAAGAGATGCCGAGTTGCATTGCATTTCCAGCCATTCCTGTTTGAAATGCCATACGAAAGCTAGGGTCACGTATCAAGACGCATGGATGGTTAGATGCTGCTGCAAACTCCCAAAAGCCGAGAACTACCTGTGCGTGTATATACAATCGCAATCAGTAATAATTACAAATCCAACACGTCAAATCCCCGTAAGAAACTGCATAAGGCCATCTTTGCCCACCAGCAAATCTTAGGACATCTCAAGGCTCAGGTTTGTTGTCTTCCTTATCATTAGAGGTTGCGTCATCAGGGGCTGCACAAACGGAACACTGTCAGGGATGTGCAATAAAAATTATGAACGAGGCAAAAGATGCTTTGGTATATTTGATCACTCCCCATGTGCTACATGAATCGGTAAGCAATAAAGGATTTTACAGTGCAATGGCTACCTTGTTTGCTCCCCTTACAGCAGCATGCGAAGAATTCTCCAAATGGACGTCTAGGAACAGGAATAAGCTTTCCCACGAACGCCAGCGGCCAGCTGCAGAGCAATAAGAGAATGATCAGGTACAATAGAGGGGAAAAAAAAGGAACATCTAGAATGTTATTACAACGGATCGCACCAGCAGTAATATATTCGTGAACCAGAAGAAACATGTCACGATTCTACCATGACCTATTATTCTATTTCAACAGCAAGCATATGACAATCTTACCTGAAGAAAGCAAGACCTATCGATACCAACCACAGCTGCCAACTTAGCTTTACTGTTGAGGCAAACTTGCTAAGGAACTCAACGATAAGCGCCTACACATAGACAGGAACAAAATATGTGAGAACAGTACACCTAAATCATATCTTAGTTAAGAAAGGAAATCCCTTCTAGACATTCTACCTGGAGTATAACTGTTATTGCTATGATGCCAATAAAGAGATGGTTCCCTGAAATGCCCTTGAATATATTGAGCTCATCTGGTTTACGTGAATTGAATTCGTTGAACACCTAATAAGACGACAAAAATACGATGTCAGGCCACAACTGCATTTGTTGTATAAAATCAAAACTCCGGAGTCACAATAGACAAAAAGGAAGAAACTTCTTTTCTAAGTGAAAGCTAAAAAGCATAACCTGGCAGAGAACAAATGTGTTGAATATGAAGGTATTTTTTGCTTTATCAGCATGTGCTGTATCATCATTTTTCAACTGCAAGAGGCTTACTCCCTTGAAGTTGAGAGTAAGGAGGACTGAAACTTGAAACAAAGCCTGAACAAAGAACCAAGTGCTTAGTAGGAAGATCTATATTAAGCAACACAAAATAAAGCGGCATACGTAGCATACCATGATAATCAAGTTTCTCCACATGATATTTGTTATCAATGGCTCCCTGAAAAGGTGATAAGAAACCATTTAGCACTGCTAACACAAATATTTTTGACACTTCAATAGCAACATACAGAGATAAATGCTGACATAAATTTGATGCAACTGAAATGATCTAGCAGCTAAAATTATCAACAATCTTATATTTACAATTTATTGCAAAATACTTCATCTGACCACAAAGATGTAGGTCCAATTAAGTTTGTAATAAGACAAATCTTTTTTTAACTTTAATATCATCAATAATTAAAATTTCACATAGATTGGCAACACAAGATTGATGCTAGCAGATCCATCATGACAAATACTTTCATTTTTCTATTTGGAATTTGTATTTTTATAGATATTGCTGATTATTGCATTAGAGGCCATGTCAATGTCAATGTCCCAATGGATTTGTGATCAGAGAAAGTAGTGTGTACAATTACTGAACATATTCAGTTTAAACAATGCTAGAAGACAGATGCCGATTAACTGCCATGTCCATAATGTTTGCCAACCCGATTAACTGCCATGAGATGGTAGATGAGCAAATATAGCACATGCACAAGAACAAACCTTCTCCCTACTGGGGGTCTCTCCATTAGATGGTTCGTAGGTGGTTCTGTCGCCAATGCAAGGGCACCCAAAGTGTCCATAATTAGGTTAACCCACAGCAACTGTCAGCCAAGGGAGCAAAAATTAGAATTTTATCCAACACTACAGAGACTACAGCTAGTAATTCAGATCTTTTTAGAAATACTATCTGGACACGCACATAACTGAAGAAAACTCTGAAGTATGTTGCAGTTTTACAAATTAAATGATGATATAATGCAACTTCCAATATATCTCAGTGTACAAATACATATATCATAATAGAAAAGGATCTGAACTCAAACCTGAACAGCATTCAACGGCACGTTTCCAGAACTGACAGCAGCAACTACATTGATTATCAGAGCTGCAACGTTGACCGTTAGTTGGAACTGTATAAACTTCTGTATGTTTGCATACACGGAACGACCCCATCTGACAACCTGAAGCCAGAAACAAACACCATGAACTACAGTAGCAGAAGGCTAAGAAGAAAAGATAAAGACAGTTAATGTACCCTCACGACTGATGCAAAATTGTCATCCAAGATAATAATATCAGAACTCTCCTTGGCAACTTCAGTTCCCTGAATGCCCATTGATAGACCAATATCTGCCTGCAAGTTTCAGAGTTTGTTAAGTACTACAAAAAGATGTTTCTTGAACATATATGGAAAGATGCTTGTTTAAATTACATATTAGGAACTTGAAAGTTCATGTTCAAAATGAGGCTCGTTTCAAAGTAAAATATTAGAAATTACTTAGGGACTAGTAGCCCACAAACCTCGTGCAATGCTGGGGCATCATTTGTGCCATCTCCAGTAACAGCAACAACGTGACCTCTTGCCCTCAGTGCCTTAACAAGTAAAAGTTTATCATTTGGTGAAGACCTCCCCATCACCTGTAGCCATTATTAGAACATACTTTTAACCCAAAGATAAAAGTAGATAGTATATCTGCATATGCAATGCATAAAGCAAAATTGGTAGAAAGTCTATTGTTTGAAGATTTATATAACAACTGAAGGGAAATAGCAAAATAGATAGGCACAAAAAACAAATTTCCTCATGTTAGCATGGTTGTATTCGTATTTTTGGTCATTAGCGGGTAGCCAGGTACAGATAGATTAAGGGATTGTTACCCCATATCTTGACATGAAGTAACCCCCAAATCTTGACGCACCCAATGAAGTATTGAGTCAGTGCAGGTAAATTAAGGGATTGCCCTTCGGTTAGAGCCTAGACAGCTTATGCAATAGTACTACTAATAACTGAATCAAAGCGAGTTTCATAGTGCTACATAGGTCATTTTCATCAAATATTTTATTTCTCAAGTCGATAACCTGGGCATAAGCAATGTCACAAAACGTGAGCAACAAAAAACTTGCTTGTTGCTACAATATTTCACATTTGGTCATCTGGTTCGCACTAGTGTATATTATTTCTGTTACCCGACATGGATACAGGTGCTGGGGGAGAGGGGGCCAGGGAGGGGGAGGGAGGGATGGGGAGGGGGGCTACAATGACATATACTAACCACAGAAATATTACAACAGTATCATAATAATGCAATGTTAGGGAAAATACAAGGATAATAAACATACAGAGATTTTTTCAGCAGCTTCCTCCCTTTCTAAGTCTGACAGCGCCCGGAATGTTTTTCCTTCAATGATGACAGGCTCTGACACATTGGGATCATCAACTATCCCGCACTCCAGGGCAATGGCTCTTGCAGTTTGGAGATTATCACCAGTAACCATGCGCACCTAACAATTCAAATAAATAACTGAAAAGTGATGACTGAGAATAACTTTCAAGTAAACATCTCCAGATGAAGCAAAGGTATAGATTATGGAAGATAACATAAATGGCGACCTGTCCCTTCTGGATGCATCTAGTATAAAGTGACACAGAAACATGATAGTACCTTAATGCCAGCTGCCTGACATAAACGAACAGAATCTCGAACTCCTGGACGGCAGGGATCCTGCATCAGTTAACAGATGTATATTACTGGTATATTGATGATGATGGCTAACAGAGGCAGCACACTGTTAGCAAACACTGTACAATATTTGCTATTTTCTATATAAGAAAGAAGGGAACAGCGAAAAGCAAACAGCAGTCTTATATCATGTGGTTATTAGAACATTCTTCATCAAGATTATCTAAAGACAGACATCATAATTTAGAAATCAAGGTTGTGGAAAAAATCTAGGACACAAGATACTGCCTGAATTTGCAGCAAACAACTGCTATAGTGGTTTTGTAATCATTCAATTTCTAGTGTTGTTGATTGGTTAAAGTTGTCCTTTCCGACCAAACAGTTTATACAGACAAATACTGACAAACTCAGTGAAAGAAACTGATAAATAGATCAATTCAGATGTACGGTCACATTGAGCTCTAAGGGACATAATAACAGGTTTAATTCATTTACAGGAAAGAAGCTGAAAATTAGACACATAATAATACCAAATACTTCGTGCGAAATGTGGAACAAATACTATTGAAAGGTAGCATTAGCAATAAAAAGGGAGAGATGGAGAGTGCATCTATCAGAATATTTCAAAAATTAGCAACAATCAAAACTCTCAAATGTTATGTACCTTTATTCCGACAATTCCAAGCATAATCAGGTTATCTTCAGGCAGTTTCCACTCTTCCCTGTGATCTTCGTCTGGAACATCATCCATCTCATGAGTTCTATAGGCAAACGCAACACAGCGGAGGCTAGCAGCAGCCATATCTTCAATGAATTTCTTGAATTCAGCAACCTGAAATATTAATAAACTAAGACAATACTGTGCAAATGAAAAGATCAAACATGAAGTTACCTTAAAAATTTGAAGAATAAATATACTTTTTCTGGAGTCATTGAATGCTTTGAACCATCAGTGTCAACCCAGCATGTGCATGAATCCAAAATAATTTCAGCTGCTCCTTTCCAGTGTATATGGACCTCAGAGCCACCCTTCAAAAAACGACAATTGATTAGACATTGAAATATTCAAAAGACAAATTGACAGTTTAACCAAAGGAGACACTGGTCAAGGAACAAAATATCTTCTTATATCGTTCTTTTGTTTTTATATTTTTTTCTAGAACCAGCAGGTTGAGGGTTTTCTTTTCTGGAACCAGCAGGAGAGTTTCCATGATTGCTGAATACAAGATTTGAACAATCAGGTGTAATGTAGGTAATAATTCAAACATAATTAATCTGTTTTAAAAAGGGAACCCTTACTAGGTGGAAACTAAAATGCTATGTTTCGAACAGTGCGAAGGTTTTTGAACAATTAGAGCCATTAGATTCGTGGCAGATACCAAGGGCCAACATGCATGCACCATATCAACCCATTTATGGTAGGGTAAAAAAGAGAGGATGTAGCACAACATTATGACTCAAATCACAACCAACTTAGGTCTTCAAAAGACATCACACAACATCTTCAGTGTTGCAGATAATTCAAATTACCAGGTGCACCGCAACCCCGCCTCGCTTTTTCTCTGAGTTGAAAGGAAATACATGAAGAATAGATGACTTCGATCTTGTTTCATTGAATTTCATACCCAGCTGTAGAAATGTGCCGACCATGATTAGCGATAGCAAGAGATTAGCATATAGAAGGATCTAGGCTGAGACTACTATAAAGGGACTTTTTGCACCTTTAGCCCCCAAGACAGTATAGCCTTTTCTGTAGGTGATCCAGTCACCTCCGGTTCTTGACCACCCTGCTGAGACATAGAACATAAGTCAGAACTCATGCCCCCAAGAATGCACATGTCTGTTGATGCTCTCCTGATAATTCTTAAGCCAGAAACAATAAACTGAACATGAGAACTGCACATAAAATTTCCTCTTGAAAAGATCACACACAGGCAAGCATGTGCAATAAATCAAACAAAAATTGGCAGGATGCACATTTTATCTAACCACTGATGGTGATGGCGCATAGGGATCACTACTAAGCTATATCTTTACTAAAACCTGAAATTTCATATGCAACCGCATATGCTTTTCTTTCTCCATGAATGGAGACAACTACTAACCTCTGGCTCAAATATGCTTCCAGAAGTGTTCTGTGCAATTCCTTCAACAATCAGCGATGTGAGATCAGCAGATAACATCTGAGCATTATCAGGTGAGTCCATCTTCTTTCCACCAAAATATGCCTCAACAACAGTCATCTTAAAATCAAACAAGGAAGAAGAGAATTTAAAAATCAGGGCCAAGCAGATTTAACAAACAGAATTGTCTGAAACCTGTATGTCAGTATGTATAAAGTGAATAAACACCATTGCACCTGATTTAAAGTCAAGGTGCCAGTCTTGTCACTGCAGATTGTTGTGGCAGACCCCATCGTTTCACATGCAGAAAGCCTCCTCACCTATATTCCATAGGAAGTGAGCGTGCATAGCATTTGATGTCGGATCAAGTAGCATAACAAAACCAAGGTATAGAAAGTTGCGAACATACCAGAGCCTTGTCCTTCATCATTTTGCGCATTGAGAAAGCAAGCCTGACAAAAATAAAGCAAGCTGAGTGGCAGGTGATGAAAGGGCTAGCAGAAAATAACATGCAAACCATGCTTACGTCAGTGTGACAGCTAATGGTAGTCCTTCTGGAACTGCCACGACCACAATGGTGACCTATTTACACCTCAAGATGGTGAGACGAAAACTGTAAACACTAAAGCAGTATGCATAAACAGAGTAACAGAATACCTACAGCCACTGTGAATATTCTAACTACTCCACCTATCGTCTGTTCTACACCCATCTTCCCTTTCACATATTGCACAGATCCATCAGGATTATAAGTATGCCCAGTGAAGTACCTACAAGAAAACATGGTGATACAGATTGATGTAGATAAACAAAGTAGACAGTTAGCACACTAAAATATAAAGGCAATTTTACCTGGCCAAAAGTACAACCAGAACTGCAAGGGCAACAGACAGTCCAACCATTCCAATGAAAGTAGCGACACCATTCAAACGAACCTGCACCAGAACAACAAAGGCATGTCAAGTCAATAAACTCGCGCAAAAGCTGGCAACAACAACAACAAAATCAAACCTGAAGTGGTGTCTCTTCACCCGAATCTTCAGATATGCTTGCCATTAGCAATCCCCATTCAGTGTTGATTCCAACAGCAGTTACCTGGACATTACAACAGTTGGGTTCAGTTGATAAATGCGCTACACTGTTCCAATCACTACTAGTGATTAAAGAGGTAATAGGCATTATATCATATGAAAGTAAGTTTGATACTGGAAAGTAACAAAACTAAAGCTAACTTGGGCAACAAGAAATAATCTACTATTTTCATGTACCTTTATCCACTATTTTCTTCTACACATCTATGGAATCGAATAATCCATAAGATTATTAAAGTATTTTCAAGACAAATCTAAACATACAATTTTCATGTCATGATCTAAATCTTAAAACTGGAAGTCGAAATTTCAGACGTTTGACTGGATTCCTGTCTAGAAAGTAATTGTGGCTGGGGAGTATGTGGATACAGAAACTCACCAGCACTGTGCCATAGCCATCGGCAACTTTGCAACCTGACATTAGAAATGGTGACTTCTGATCTTTGTGTACCTTCAAATAACCCCCATGTGGCCAAGTTAGGTTCAGATGCAACGTGTGTTACTTCCAAGGCTGTATATTGGAGTAACTTACAATTTTACTTTCTCCCGTCATGCTTGATTCATCTATGGAAAGGGAGTGGCCACTGACAAGGATACCATCTGCGGGGACCTGGCAAAGAAATTATAGGGTATCCTTAGAAATTGAAAGTAGACACATGACTCGAAAATGAGGCTCATGCTCAGTGGCCTTCTCTACCTGGTCACCAATTTTGAGTGGGACAACATCTCCAACAACCAAATCATATATTGATACCGTGATTCGCCTTCCACCTCTAACAACCTAAATGATTCGTAACATTATTTGGGATCAACAAAGAAACCGATAGCAATAAATGCGCCTCTAATCCTCACCTCCAAACGAATGTTCTGTTTTTCTTCATTCAGATTTTGGAATTGCAGTGATTGCTTGTAGTCGCTGATAGCTGAAAATTAACATGGCAAATAACAGCCACTAGATTTTGAGCAACTGTACACAAACTGTAAAAGGTAGTATTGGCACTAAGGAGTAAGAGAGGTTTTATTTGAAGTTTTAGGCATACATACTGGACTTTAACTTTATTGCTTTAGAGTTTAGACCAATACTAATTTTGCAACATTATATGTAGTAACAACAACAACAACAACACCTTTAAGTCCCAAACAAGTTGAGGTAGGCTAGAGTTGAAACCCAGCAGAAGCAATCAAGGTTCAGGCACGTGAATAGCTGTTTTCCAAGCACTCCTATCTAAGGCTAAGTTTTTTGGTATATTACATATTTTCAAGTCTCCTTTTATTGCCTCTACCCAAGTCAACTTCGGTCTTCCTCTGTCTTCACGTTACTATTCTGACTTAGGATTCCACTACGCACCGGTGCCTCTGGAGGTCTCCATTGGACATATCCAAACCATCCCAACCGGTTTTGGACAAGCTTTTCTTCAATTGGTGCTACCCCTAATCTATCACGTATATCATCGTTCCGAACTTGATCCCTTCTTGTATGACCGCAAATCCAACGCAACATACGCATTTCCGCGACACCTATCTGCTGAACATGTCGTCTTTTCATAGGCCAACATTCTGCACCATACAACATAGCAGGTCTAATCGCCATCCTAGAAAACTTGCCTTTTAACTTCTGTGGTACCCTTGTCACATAGGACACCAGATGCTTGACGCCACTTCATCCACCCTGCTTTGATTTTATGGCTAACATCTTCATCAATATCCCCGTCTCTCTGTAGCATTGATCCTAAATATCGAAAGGTATCCTTCCTAGGCACTACTTGACATTCCAAACTAATATCTTCCTCCTCCCGAGTAGTAGTGCCGAAGTCACATCTCATATACTCGGTTTTAATTCTACCGAGTCTAAAACCTTTGGACTCCAAAGTCTTCCGCCATAACTCCAGTTTCTGATTCACTCGTCCGGCTTTCATCAACTAGCACTACATTGTTCACGCGAAAAGCATACACCTAGGGATGTCCCCTTGTATGTCCCTTATGACCTCATCCATCACTAAGGCAAACAGAAAAGGGCTCAAAGCTGACCCTTGATGTAGTCCTATCCTAATCGGGAAGTCATCCGTGTCTCCATTACTTGTTCGAACACTAGTCACAACATTGTTGTACATATCCTTAATAAGCCCGACGTGCTTCGTTGGGACTTATGTTTGTCCAAAGCCCCACCACATAACATTCCTTGGTATTTTTATCATAAGTCTTATCTAAGTCAATAAAAACAATGTGTAGGTCCTTTTTCTCCCTATACCGCTCCATAACTTGTCTTATTAAGAAAATGGCTTCCATGGTTGACCTTCCGGGCATGAAACCAAATTGGTTCATAGAGACCCGCGTTATTGCTCTCAAGCGATGCTCGATAACTCTCTCCCATAGCTTCATAGTATGGCTCATCAACTTAATTCCCCGGTAATTAATACAACTTTAAATATCCCCTTTATTCTTGTAGATCGGTATTAATATACTTCTTCTCCACTCGTCAGTCATCTTGTTCGATCGAAAAATATGGTTGAACAGCTTGGTTAGCCATACTATAGCTATGACCCCGAGGCATCTCCACACCTCGATTGAGATACCATCCGGTCCCATCGCCTTACCTTCTTTCATCCTTTTCAACGCCTCTCCAACCTAAGATTCTTGGATTCTCCGCACAAAGCGCCTATTGGTGTCATCAAAAGAGTCATCCAACTGAAAGGTTGTGTCCGTATTCTCACCATTGAACAATTTATAAAAATACTCTTGACATCGATGTCGGATCTCATCCTCCTTCACCAAGAGATGCTCACTTTCATCCTTAATGCACTTAACTTGGTTGATGTCCCTTGTCTCTCTCACAAACCCTAGCCATCCTATAAATGTCCTTCTCTCCTTCCTTCGTACTCAAATGTTGATAAAGATCTTTGTGCGCTCTACCATTTGCCACACTTACAGCTCGCTTTACAGTCTTCTTTGCCACCTTATACTTCTGTATTGTGTCCACACTCCTGTCATGGTACAGGCGTCTATAGCATTCTTTCTTCTCCATAATAGCCCTTTGGACTTCCTCGTTCCACCACCAAGTATCTTTAGCCTCGCCTCCACTTCCTTTGGTTACTCCACACACCTCTGAGGCCACCTTCCGAATGTTGGTTGCCATCTTCTCACACGTGTTGTTTATGTCCTCTTCTTCCTTCCAAGAGCCCTATTTGATAATTCTTTCCCTGAATACCTTTGACGTCTCCCCTTTCAGTTTCCACCACTTTGTTCTTTCAATCTTAGCTTGTTTATCCCTACGGGCACGCAACTGAAAACGAAAGTCTGCCACCAAAAGCTTATGTTGAGAAACAACACACTCCCCTGGTATCACCTTGCAATCCAAGCATGCTCGTTTGTCCTTTCTTCTTGCGAGGACAAAGTCAATCTGGCTAGAGTGTTGTCTGCTACTTAAGGTCACAAGATGAGATTCTTTCTTTCTAAAGAAAGTGTTGACTATCATCAGGTCAAAAGCTACCGCGAAGTCCAGAACTTCCTCCCCCTCCTGATTCCTACTACAATACCGAAAACCTCCATGAACTGCCTCGAAACCTGCGCTTGTAGTTCCTACATGCCCATTAAGATCTCCTATAAAAAGCTTCTCATTACTCGATACAGCTCTAATCAGGCCATCTAAGTCTTGTCAGAACTGTCTCTTAGCACTCTTATCGAGGCCTACTTGGGGGCATACGCACTAATTACGTTCAAGACCATATCACCAACGACAAACTTGACTAAGATAATCTTATCTCCTTGCCTTCTCACTCCCACCACACCATTCTTGAGGCTCTTATCAATCAAAACTCCTACTCCATTTCTATTCGCGACTGTCCCTGTGTACCAAAGCTTGAAACATGTATTGTCCACTTCCTTCGCCTTCTGACCCTTCCATTTAGTCTCTTGAACGCATAATATATTTACACGTCTCCTAGTCACGGTATCAACTAATTCTCTTAACTTACCTGCAAGCGACCCTACATTCCAACTACCTAAACGGATCCTAGTTGGTTCGACTAGCTTCCTTACCCTCACACCCGTCGACTCCGATGTGAAGACCCTCTCATTTTTCACTACACCCGGGCACCGATGTAGCGCGCCACTAAGGAAGCGACGACCCGATCCTTGCTCACTTGACACCATGCCCATATCGCGACCCGGCGCGTCACCAAGGGGGTGCCGACCCGGCCCTTGCCCATTTAACACCATACCCAAGTTCCGATATGACGCGTCGCTAAGAGGGTTACGCCCCATGCAACATTATATGTAACTTTTCACAAATTTGTCATTGGTTTTATCATATATTACATGATGACTTGATGTGAATAGAAACACTCTGCTTTGTTACTCCATGTGTCCTAGTATACAAGGCATAACCACCTTTGTTTCAAAGACCAAGGGTGTACCTAGTGCAGAGAGCTCCTGCTCTGTGCGGGGTTTGGGGAAGGGTGTCAGTGGCAAGCCTTACTCTCGCCTGTGCAATGCGAGAAGACCGCGACTCGAACCCGGGACCTTCCGGTCACAGGCGGTAAGACTCTACCGCTTGCACCAGGCCCGCCCTTCTGTTTCAAAGACCAAGGAACGTATTTAATTCTCTCTCAACACTAGTACTGCCGCATGGTTATACGTGCGTCTAAAGGGAGCATGCCTTGTATTATAGGACGAATAAAAAGTGATTATGCCTTATATATTAGGAGTTTAGGAAGGAGGGAGTATATGACAAAGAACACAGAAAATCAGAGAAAAGTCATAGTGGCACACCTGTAACAAATACAACTAGAAGAACAGCAAAGGCAATGCTCGCTCCATCATACCATCCTTCTTTTATGCCCTAATGTCAACATATTCAATGTAAAGATAAAGGAGCAAAGATGAGCAATGTAACCAATGGTAAGCACATGGACAGATATAAGGGAATATGATGAAATCTGCACAAAAAAATGCATGCACCAGAAACTTGAGAAACTGGATAGATTTGAAATAGGATACTGAAACAGCAAAAAGTGGGAAAAAGAACAAAACAACTCATTCAGCTAGACAAAACACAGTTGGCAATTTTGTACAGTTAAGAGAGTCAAATAACTACAGATGTGATGCCCACCTCTGTTGTTATGCCCAAGGCCAGTGAAACAGCAGCAGCAACCATGAGGATGATTAGCGTCAAATCTTTACAAGCATCCCACACGAAAGCCTAAATACGATGTATAGTCAGCAGGAGTGACTAACCCAGAGAAAGGAAATGTACTATATCATAAAGGAAACCATAGCATACCAAAAAGCTTCTTCCTTTCTTACGAGGATATGTGTTTGATCCAAATGCATTTTTCCTTGCCATCAAATCTGAGTCATCTCCACTAATCCCCTTCTCTGTATCGGTTTTTAGCATATGTGCTACACCAGAAACCTGCGGAGGAAATTACAAGGTTGAAACTATCACAGGCAAGTAGTGAGATAAATGATTATGACACCAGGATTAGCTCACCCCTCCGTATTGCTGCAGACCAGAGTAGTTGTGATCCCTTGTCAGTGCTGTAAGCTGGTCTTCTTTGATTCCGAAGCCAAGTGCACCATCAGCACTTGGTACTGCAGAAGTCGGGGTTGAAAACGTATTAAAAGAATTGCAACAACAGGATATCTTTCATTTTACTACTCATTGAATAAGGATCACCGGTGCACAATGCATAGTACGCTGCAAAGAAGCAAAGCATGCTCCTATCATGTCCAAAATAAATGATCCTCCTAGAATGCATTGTCACATCAAACCACAAGGACCAGGATATGTAGCAGTTGGAAAAACAGCTTACAGGTATTATGCAAGACCAGTACGAACAAAGTGCAATCCCCTAACAAAGGAGAGTGAGTAAACATTGAAATCAAACCTTTTGTTTCTTCAGACTGAACATGGATTCGGCCAGCCTCTTTGAAACGAAAAGCGGCCTGCATAAGAAATTATAGACATAAGCTAATACCAAAAGGTAAACTTAAGGAATGATGAGACATTGTTTCTAGTACGATACCCTTATAACATGTGCCTGTGCACGGATTTTTCTCCTGATTTCCTCCTTTTGTTCATCCTTTTTCAAATCGAGAGTGTACCTAAAGCGCCTTGATGCATTCAGCACAAGGGCTGCTTGCTGCAATAACGAAAGGTATTAGAAACCAAACATATCAAAAGAACGATATCGAGCTAATCACTCTAGCAGAAAAAAAAGGTTAGATATTTTAGGAAAGAAAAACTCAAGTAGATAACACTACAGTACCCCCACCATCTTAGACAACTGTTTAGACATGTCTGAAGGTGTAACAATCCAGACAATGTCGTCTTTACAGTTTGACACACACCACGATATCTCATAGACTACTGTAGCAAGGCATATAGAAAGTTTGTATTACTATTACAGTTCTGCAGCTTGGAAAGGTACAACTAGCAGTGCCAAGTTAACAATAAGAGAGCATCCTGTATAGTGAACTATTAATGCATGAAGATTTTTAAATTATGAGCAGTGAAATATATAACAAGAGACAAAGAAAGGACAGTACTTAGTGGGGTATTTTGACACTTGGGGACTTCATATACTGAAATGTGATACAAAGTACACTACGCAATGCCAACATTCATGGTTTAGTGATGAAGTGAAGTGATGATCCCAAAAACTCTAGTACCATCTGAACCATAATCATAAGTTCATAATCTACTTCCAGATAGAAAGGTCATGCTGCCTTGTATGCTGGGCAATTATAGTGTAAGATACTCTAAAGCTTTGTTCCAAAAAAGGCACGCCGGAGCTAGGAGAGCAGCACTGCCTTGCATAGCACCTGTTCGGTTTAGGACTTTGATCCAAGTACAAAAGTAGTTTTAATTTGAGATGGGAAAGACAAATTATGGTCATGGGACTCATAGTTGCAATCTAATGTCATTTTTTTTGTTTTAATATACAAAAAACTCCTGTATTTAACAAGGCATTACTCCACCCACCTCCACCAGCAAAAGTTACAACTAGCTATAACCTGCCTAGCGCTTTTTGAAAAATTGCTCAAAAGTTGTAGGGAAGCTATTGCTGTTGTCAATTCCTGCAGGCTGTTTGTAATGTCCAACCATGACAGGAATATGTCGATATGAACATCAATATATTTGGCTTTCAAATAAAAGGTAAATTGATTATTGACTCTAGTTGCCAGCAGTTTTTTGCATAAAGTGATCAGCTAGCTCTGCCTATATTTCAAACATGTTCAGCAATTTCTTACAGTTATTTAGTAAAAAACATGAACAAGATGCAATTTGGTTCCAGGTATTATGGGAAGGCCATATCAGAATATCCTCAACAAATTTCTGACAACAACAATAGAACACATCTTTTGGTTTCTGCAGCATTTGAGTTACAGAATAACTGAACAATGTAACAATGAGTTGTGGTCAAATGTCTTTCTCCTTTTGCTAGGCATTGTGAACCATTCAATCAGGCATGTTACAACAATTATTTTGGGATAACCTAGAATCCTAATCAGGTATGGCATTTGGAGGATGAGGGGCCCAAACGTAGTAAATCCACTGGCCCGCTAGCAAACCGGAACAACTAGTACATCTCTCGCATCCTAAGCAGTTGGGGCCCTTCAGTTTAGTCAGAGAACTCAAAACAAATACTCCAATGAAGTAATTTTCTATCCAACTCAGAAAGTCAGAAGCCAGCAGTATAATGGGGTGTTTGGATCCGGCTACTAAAATTTAGAAGGTGTGTCGGAAGAATATCGCCTGAGGTGTTCGGATATTAATAAAAAAATAAATTACATAATACGTCAGTACTCCACGAGATGAATTTTTTAAGCCTAATTAATCCGTCATAAACATTGTCAAATCATGGGCTAATTAGGCTTAAAAGATTCGTCTCGCAAATTAGTCGTAAACTATGCAATTAGTTTCGTAATTAATATATATTTAATACTCCATGCATGTTTTTAAATATTCGATGGGTCAGCGACTAAAATTTAGGAGAGACAACCATACAACCCCTAAAATTACGTGTGGCAGGAATGCTTAGCACGTCGACACAGCACACAGCTAACCATCTGCCGCGTGGCCAAGCTAGCTAGAATATTCTACACCCAGAGTTCCAAGCAATATCCGTTTTAGGAAATTGTAATGCATGAATATCAGGAAAAGGGTACAGTGGCCCAAATCTAACGCAAGTGTGGGCACATCAAATGAACCGAACAATTCTAAAGTATTCATGATAAAAAAAAAGTCGAAAGCGGCGAACAAATCCGAGCGGCGAGTTATCACTGAAAGCACCCGTCCAGAATCAAATCTGAATAAATGACTCCAGTACTTGACGCGCATTGGTTACAGGCCAAATCGAACTGACGCCACAACGAAAGGACGAGTCGGACCACTCAAATGCAGCAGTGGAAAAAGGGTAAGGAGATGCATGAACTCCTGGAAAAAAGTTTAAAAAAAACGTAAAAAGCGAATCTGAAAGGAAGCTGGAATGCTAAAGCACTGCCGAACGCCTAGCGTTCGGAAGTAATCCCAGTGAAGTCCATCGAAGACCATCAAATGGGCTGAAACGGCTGAACCATCTACAGATGGAACGCAGCTCTAAAATGTGGACATGAGAGGATTAGAGTCTGAAGTCTGAACCTAATTCACCATCTTCTCTCGGGAAAAAGGGTCCGAATTCAATTAGAAAGGGGAAAGGGTGAAGAAATAATTCGAATTCAGAAACCCAAACCGCAAGTGAAAGCGCAAGCAGAAGTCCCTTGCTAGCGACAGGCTGATTCAAACCTAACCACGATGAACCTAAACCAATTCAGATACACTGCACTCCGCAGAAGTCCCTTGCAAAACAAAAACAAAAAACCTAACGCCAAAGCTCGCCAGCGCGAGTGGGCTGTTCTTCCCCCAAAACAATCGAGAGCTCCGTCACAAATAAACACGGATCCAAAGCCGGGGAGAAAAAAAACTACACACTGCTTCAAAACCAACCACAATGAGCCCAAACCAGTGAAGACAAACCACACTGTGCATAGCTAGAACATCACGCCGCCGGAAGGCGCTCGGCGACAACAAATGACGACGAGCATGGAGGAGCGTGCTTACCCTCCACTTCCTGAGCAGCTCGAGGGGTGCGCCCTTCGCGGGGATGTCGAACGGGTCGGCGTCGAAGCTGCCCCGGCCGCTGCTGCCGCCGCCGCCGCTACTCCGCCGCCGCGCCAGCCCGCCGCCCGACGACGACGACTCCATCCCGTTCCGCGCGCGCTCGCTGGCGAGAGAGGCGCCGACCAAAACCCTGAACCCAGGCGCCGCGAACTCGGGCACCGCCTCCGATTTATGGGACGGCTGCCGCTCGGAGCAGGCGCGTAGAAGGTTCCTGGCGAGGAGCGCTTGTGTTTGGATTTTGGAGAGAGGCCTGAAGTTTTTGGAATGGGCTGCTGCGGAGTTTTGGAAAGGAAGGAGACAATCGGAATTTCGCCCTTATGCGAAGTGGGCTTCGCACAAGTACCATCAATTTTATGGAACGAGTCCAACACGCTATGATACTATTTTGAGTTTTAAGTCTGCTTTAAAAAAATTTCAGCTAAAATTTTAGCCTTCAGTGACCATTTTACTCCTGAGCTCGTTGAATCGGTGGGGGAAAGCGAGCAGAGAGAGAAGTACGGGCGGTGGTGCTGCTCGCCGCCGGGCAGAGAGAGAGACGGTGGGAGACAGAGAGGGGCTTGAGCGGTGGAGCTGCTCACCGCGTAGCAGAGCACCTGGATGAGCGGCCGGTCGTTGGACTAGCGCTGGGAGCACGCGGCTCCTGTTGCTCGGCCTCCCACGACGAACAAGCAGGAAGAAACAAAGAACTGGAAATCTAGAACAGGAAATCGGCGGCCACAAAATCAACAAAAAACTGGACCAAATCAAAACAAATCACGACCAAACTTTTTACAGGCCATCACAAGGGAGTTGGTGAGCATACTCTAAGAGATCATCGCCCAATTTCAACCCAAACTCCGAAAAAAATAGATCACGACCAAGAACACGAAAAACTCCCCAAAAACGAAATTCGTTCAATTTCTTCGTGCTCGACTCGATTCAATCAAATTCACTTAAGGGGTAGCATCAACTCATGTCATAGCACGAATCTGAGCAAAAAAGAACGAACTAAATCGGTCTCAAAATGAAGAATCGAAGCAAGAACGGGGAGGAAAAAACTGAGAAAAAAGCTGCAAAAATAAAATCACAGACACAATCTCTAGAACACGAATTGGTAGTGTCATTGCCAATTGGTGCCGTCCTTTCATAGATAAACACAGAAAAGGCAAAGATTGGAACAACATGCATTCTAGGCCAAACCCTACAACACGAATCGAAGTCATCGAAGGGACGAATCAGAGAGGCAAAAGCAAAATCCCAAAATACAAGAGGAAACGGAGCACTGAGCGCTTTGTGCAACCATGAAAGATCGCTAAGACCCACTGCAGACCGGGGCATGAGCACCATGAGCGGCCACAGCAGGAGAGAGGGAGAGGGGGAAAGATGAGGACGACTAGCCTGCAAGGCCATGCCCCTACCCTGCCCTACGCCTTCCCCGTTGTGGGCTTCGCTCTCCACTGCCGTCGGGGCCCAGCCCCTTGCGCCTTCCCCGCGGTGGCGCGGCTAGGATTGGGGGCGGCAGCGCGACCAGGGAGCTGCGGGGGCTCGGGTAGGGGGTGGCGGCGTTCCGGCGTCGGGCTCCCGCTCAGAGCCTGGTCCTCGTTCTGCGACGGAGAGAGCAAGAATGAAAGAGAGTTTGTGAGGGAGAGGAGAGTGAACGAGGGGATAAGCTAAATGAACACAGAGGGGTAAAACGGTCACAGCAAGTCAAATATTGGGTTGAAAAATATTAAAAGTTGGCTTAAATCACGAAATGGTAATATAGCGTGAATGACCGGTTTCATAGAGCCATTTTAACGAAGCCACAATTTTAATGGCATTTAAGCGAAACCCATCTATCATAAAAGCAAAATTCCAATTTTGTCGAAAGGAAGGGAGGATTGCCGTGAACCTTGAACCGAGAGTTCCGTTCGGAGTGTATATTTTACAGTTTAAACCTTCCAGGTATTTTTTTGTTGAGCCCTGGTACGTGTCCAGCATTCTCTCTACTCGGCTACGGGATGTTCAGCTGCCACCCGGAGGTGGGCCCAATGGAGAGCTGGAGATTGGCATTTGGCCGAACGGATCAACGTCGAATGGGGCTCAAGCACTATCGGAGAGGAGAGAGAGCTCCGAGAAATCTGTACTCATGTTGCAAACATGGGTTCCGTTCGCTCGATTTATATACCGTATTTTTTCGGTTCATAAATAGTATTTTTCTCTCGTAATAAATTAATCAACAGTACTTTCAGTTATGGCTTATCAGCCAAAGAACGGGACAATTATAACTCCCATAATGTTTTACGCAGGAACTAAAGTTTAGAAAGAATCGTACCGGGTGTCACATCGAGTGTTTGATACTGATAATAAAACTAATTATATAGCAGTAACTAATTCGCGAGACAAATTTATTAAGCCTAATTAATTCATTGTCAACACATAATTAGTGTAGCATGGTACGATGGGCGAGCTTGTGGAGCTGTGGATCAATATGTCGACGTGTGTTTAGATATTTCGAGAACAGCTGCATTTTGCCTAACAATTGTGACACCGAGATATTTATTACTTTTGATATGCCGCCTTTAATCCTTCCAACACGGGCAGTGTTGCCTTTTTGCAGCTAAATGGAGCTCGCCATCGACATGCAAAAGAGAACGGTTCGATTTCTTTCGTGACCAAGGTGGACTAGTTGTTTATCAGCCCTATTCGTTTGCTTTCGTATATGATCTTGGATTATAAGATAGAACAGTATTTTTTTTCATACTAAACCAGCCAGCAGTAAATAATCCACGATCGTTTACGACGAAACAAACATGCTGTATATCGGTTCGATTTCTTTCCTATAAAGGTGGAGTTTATATGGGGGTCTGTTTGGTGAGGCTCTTTCTCACATCTAGAACATTTGAGAAGGAATTATTTTTATGGATGTTCGGTTGGTATTAAAGCTAACTGAAGCTATTTTTTTTGAGAGAAAAATACTGTAGATTCTAGCTGATAAGCCGATTGAAAAGTTCAAATGAATAGGGCCGAACTACTTCTAAAATATTTGATAAGATTTCTCCAGCTTGTTCGCAGAAGCCATTGTTGGAGCCGAACCGAGGTCGTGTCAAAACAAGCCCACAGTCACCCGGAGACAGATCAGATGGACTGTTTAGGTACGATGAGTCTATTGCTTTGCGTCCGGTTAGTTTGATCATTTTTCAGTTGTGAAACATTATTTTTCATTCATAATATTTTAATATAAACATCAATATAAATTAAATTTCAGCATAAATAAACTGGTTCTCAACCTGTTCACATGATACTCCTATAGGAGTACTACGTGTTCAACCCCTGGTAAAGTGTCCGTAGAGTGCACGAACACAGTGCTAGCCCTTAAATTCTGTCGCTAGCTACCGGCCTGCCTTATCCGTTATAGTTTTTTTTTTCTCTCAACAAATCAGCTAATAATACTTTTTAGTCCGGCTTTTCAGCGAAACCAACGGAGGAGTGCAGGGCCAGTGGAGCAAATAGTACTCCTGAATCCGTTATGCGCCCTCTTCTACGTACTAATGTGTCAATCAATCAAATAATCAATTCCAGGTTTTGTTTCCTCGGCTGATTGGTGCGAGAGGTTAGCTAGCTCGATCTAACCGACCGAACCAATAAGGCTCTGTTTGGCATGGCTCTAGAGCTGAACTCCAGCAACTCTAACTAATTTTTCAGCCAAACACCCCAGCTCCAAAACTCTATGGAGCTGCCAACTCCATGGAGCTGTAATGCAAATAGAGGTGGAGTTTCGGAGCACCTCTTCTCCTACTCTAGAACTGGCCAAAATAGATCTAGACGTGGAGTTGGGGTGAAATTACCCGTAATTGCCACTGATTACACAACTCGAACCGTTTTTCTTTCTATTCGCTCTGCCTCCCACACCCGCGTGCGGCCGACTCCCCCTCCCTCCCTCTCTCTCTCCGTGAATCCACGTGACCGGGCGACGCGCGCTGGGTGACTACGCCCTCCGCCGGCCACGGCCCAGCGACTCCATCGTCGGCCGGCACCCCTCCCCTCCCCTCCCCCGCCTCTCTTCCCCCTCTACTCCATCCCCCACCTTTTCCCTAGTGGAGAAGAGAAGAAGGTCTCCTCCATCCCCAACCCTAACCCTAGAGGAGAAGGGGAAGAAGGACGCCTCCATCTCTGCCGGAGAAGAAGGAGAAGAAGGAGAAGAGAAGCCCCCCCGACTCCCCCAAGGCTTTGTGGCTGACCTCCCGACGTGCTTCGCGCAACCAACAAGAGAGGATGACATGTGGGTCCACCAGAGGGCCAGTGGCCATTCTACACCGCCTCCCCAGCTTGTGGCAAACACACTGGGACCTCCCACTGGCTGAGCCCACCAATTGGCGGTGGAGCACTTGGCGGAGCTGCTCCTCTCCCCGCGGGTCCCAGACGGAGCTCTGCGTGAATGAATAGAATTAAAGCTCCCTCTCCTGCCCCCGGACTCTACCACATGGCCAGCCCTCTTCCCCGTAGACAATGGTGAGTTCCTCTGTAGCAACCAACAAGAGAGGATGACATGTGGGTCCTACTCAAAGGGCAAAGTGGGCATTCTACATGATTGAACATGGTTCTGGAGCTGAGACTCTCTTTCTAGCCAAACACACTAAAAACACAGCTCTAACTCCACTCAGAGCCAGCTCCACCTGGATTTCTGGAGTGGAGCTGCTTTATCTAGAGTTGGAGCCATGCCAAACATGTCCTAAGTCTTGGGTCCTCAAAATTAATCATGGTGCGTGAATGAATAGAATTAAAGCGTCCATGTGGCCCCTCGTGAGCTCGCTGAATTGCCGTCCACCATCCACCACCACATGGACCGGCCGCGCCGAGCGGCGTGAACGCATGAGCTCGAGTACCTCGCCCTCGCTGTCGCACAACGCATCCTCGCTCTGCTCGCATGGAAAGCAAGGCGACGCACGCACAAGAACATGCCTTGTCTCTACACCTCTCAACACATGCATGGAGTAGGCCCAGTTTCGAATTTCGAATTTCGAAAGAGTGCTGTGCTTTTGCATGCAGATCATTGGATCCAGCGAGGATTTGATGGGCGCGCTCCGTGCTCGGAAGAGGACGACGGGGTCTTTTCCAACACGGCG